GTACGGAAGAATAACACCTGAGTCCTCAGGAATGGCAACGCATGGGGGGTATCATGGGCGAAACAGTGTATTCTGTTATTCTGTTGAAGTTACCACTTTCCATCAGGTGGGCCGTCAGCTTGTTTCAGCCATTCTAAGTTGTACAAAAAAAAATTATAAATGTACTAACAATGTAATTTACAAGTGCAATAAAGAATATAATACATATAATATAAACCTTAGAGGAGGCCAAAAAGTTAAAACTAACCTAAAACTCAATGACTGTCAAAGTTGAAACAAAAAGGTTCGAACTTAGCATACAAATAGTCTATTGAACTCTAATAAAACGGCTAACAGAAAAATGTCCCTACTGAAATATACAGCACCCTATGGCGCTTTCAAAATCAGTTTTTGGGTTCACTACAAAATGATAAAATGATCCAATTGCCATTATCACTTAAAGTTATGAATGGCAGCACGAACGAGATGAAATTATATAGAATTACATAGGTTAGACTGAAACAGCCACATTTAAAGCAAATTCGTCTTAGATTTCAAAAGGATAAGATTTTCAATTCGTCTGTATTTTCCTTTATACATTATTAGGATTATAACTTGGTATTTATTAGTTTTTTTGCCATTCTAAGTTGTACAAAAAAAAACCAAAAAAAAACTATTAGAACAATATGAACTCATTATGTTGCATATTAGTGTAACTTGCCAACGGAGTATACCCCGGCATGGAATAGGCCATCCCTTTCTCGTGGGTGTTGTAAGAAGTGACTAAGAGAGAGCGAGAGATGGGCAGCAGTGTTCCTATTAAAATATCTCTAAAAACCAAACTGCGCTTGCTAACCCGCCTGCCAAGCATGGCAACTACTGGCACAACTTATGAGGAAGGCTTATGTCCAGCAGTGGACAGTTAATGGCTGAAATAGTAATAAAATTGTACGTCAAGAGTGCAAAACGTCTCAATTTCAATTTACTGGAATTTATTTCAAGATTAACCCCACAGATGGGATTCCAGTCAAACGTGCTTAAATTTAATATATTAAAATAATATATAGGTGATTCAGAACGATTTCTCATGGCCTTATATTCAGTCAAAATGGGCAATTAATGTAATAATTGGTTATATTTATACTTATAATTTGCAACTGTATGGTCCTGGCATAGTCACCATTTTCTTTCCTATGGGTGTCGTAAGAGGTGACTAAGGAAGGGTGAGGGATAGGTAGCAGCGTCCCTCTTAAAACATCTCTAAAGTCTGACTGCGGTTGCCAATCCGTCTGCTAAGCGTGGCGACTACTGGCAAACCCCCCCAAGGAGGAGACTTATTTTCAGCTAAATACTGATATGAAGATGACGATGATGAATTTTTATTTGTATTTACATCAAAATTGGCTTATAATAAAGTCATTTAAAATTAAAGTAATATACTAGAATCAAATACTAAGACACCGATTACAAAATGAAATATTAATTATTTCAAAATATCTACAAGAATTTCTTGTAGTTTGAATTATTTTGGTTAAGAGCTTATTAATTATGTAAATTCATTATCGAGTACTAACGAACACGTGTAACGTTTTCAACAGCATTTAATGGTTCCAAAATTCGATAGATCATCGAAATTTAATATAACGAACTTAAAATTTATGAAAATTTACTTTAAAACTAATTATCAGGTATTATATCGATTTAAGGTAGTGACTAGCCATTAACTTAAACACGGAATACTAGGTGGCGTTAGAATCGATACTTGTGGTTTATATTGATCACTTTGTAAATAAATTTTAGGCAAATTTTCTAAATTGGCCAGTGGTTTTATTTCTTTTTTTACCAACTAAGTAATAATTTACCATAATTTTTGTCTTTATTCGTTTGTATTCTACATTTCTGTTAAAAAAATATTTTTTTTTTATACCACTTAGAATGGCAAACAAGCTGACGGCCCACCTGATGGAAAGTGGTAACCGTCGCCTATAGACATGAGCAGTATTACATACTATTAAGCATGCAAGCAAATGCAAGAAATATAGCGAATGTGTGCATTATAATTCCTTCAGAAAAAGATAGCGTATTATCTGTCATTTCATAATAATACAAATAAATAAAACCAACCCCTCAACAATTTAGAAATTTCACTTCAAATTATCTTTAATTATAAAATAATAAAAAAAAAATAAGTTACAATTCTAGCGCCATCTAGTATTTCGTCTCCAATTTTGTTTAGTGAGTATTTGGTGAAATTTCAATTCATTATCAAGTATCTATTTACAACGTGTGTCGAATTAAAGGAAAATCAGCCATTCCAAAATTCGATGTAATGGGATTTAAACTCTGTAACAGGTACTAACAAATTTGTATAGCGATTTTAATGACATGCAGTAGTTCCAAATTGGATACAACAAACTTTTAAATTCATTACACGGTACTACCGAGCAAATACTGATTACGTTAGAACGCGGTAGTTCTAGAATTTGATATAACAAACTGTAAATTCAGTCCCCATCACCATGATATCAGCCATTCTCTGTTCATTGCTGGACATAAGCTTTACCATATACTGCTACAAATCTTTTATGATATCTTATATATAAAATTCTCGTGTCACGTTGTTTGTTACCAAACTCCTCCGAAACGGCTTTACCGATTTTTATGAAATTTTGTGTGCATACTGGGTAGATCTGAGAATTGGCCAACATCTATTTTTCATACCCCTCAATGATAAGGGTGACCTTCCCCAAATTTTTTTTTTTAATTTTTTTAACAAATTTTTCCATTTTTATTTTATTATGATTTAGCATTAAAAAATACACACAACTTTAAATTTTCATCGTTTTACGATCAACCCCTGTCTTTTAACCGCGATTTTTATATTTCGCAATAAATGGTAAAACAACGTTTACGGGGTCAGCTAGTCTATCTATATATATTAAAAATTAATGCCACTTTTCGTTGTAATTTTATAACTCAAGAACGGGCTCACCTATCCAAATCAAATGTTTAGGCTTTGTTCGGACTATTTAGTAGATGGTTTATGTGAAGTTTGCACAAAATCAGTCGAGCGGTTCTTCATTTATCACATTTTTTGTAACAAATGAATTCAATAAATGGCGGATCTTTTTGTTAATGGAGATTTTTGTGTCAAATTCAAACTTGTTTTAAGATGGGGACCGTGCTGTCAAATTGAAACTTTTTTCAGTGTTGTCAGTACATTTAAAATAGCTAGCAATTAATAAAATATTTTTTTGTTTGAATAAATGAATTTGATGTTATTTTTCTTTTATTATTTCACTTTATACGTAGCACGTAATGGGCCGCTAGTCTTTTTATAAATTAGAAAAAATATTCAATACGATGTAATATTGCAACGAATATATTGAATTTAAAATTTGGAATGGTCTTGAGCCACCTGCATCCACTGACTTCCTGAAAGTCAGAAATAACAGCGCTGGAATTGACTGGGCGCCGTTTCTTTTGGTGACTACCAATGGGTGGTGTTGCTACTAGTTGCTACGCTTGGGAGGCGTATTAACCATCGTAGCTTTGGTGATGTTCCATGAGGGACGCTGCTACCTATCTCTCGACCTTCTCTTAGCTGCCTCTTATGATACTCACGAGAAAGGAAGGGGTGATTTATTTTATGCCAAATCAATACGGGTAAATTCATCGGGTATTAATAAATCCTTACTAAATTTAAAGTGTAATGCATTGACTCCAAAATATGATATACTAGTAATAAATTTCAAATACATTATCAAGTACTAATGCACTCGAAATCATTACACGATTTCATTGGAGTGCAATGGTTTCGAAATTACGAAACTTTCAATTTATCATCAGTAACTCTGATGTTAAAGTGGTATTATATGGTATTTATTTATTTATTTATTTATTTACACTTTATTGTACCAAGTAAAAAGAGAAATAACAAATACAGTAAATATTAATGAGAAGTGATACAAAAGGCGGCCTTATCGCTAAGCAATCTCTTCCAGACAACCTTTGGGTAGAGGACATTGAGAAAAAGACAAAGGGTGGGTGGTGCACTATTATATAAATATTATCATATACAAACATATATACATACATACACACATACACATACATATATAATATATACACAATTAAATATATACATAACACACACATACTTAACAGCACACATACAATAGAAAAAAAAAATGGCGAAGGAAAACGAAGAGAGAACACAGGAAAATAGTACTAAGCTGGTACCAATTTGGTTTTATATAATTATTATATAATTTCTTAATGTTTAAATGCTACAAAAAAAAAATTAAAATTAAATTATTGTAATTTTTGATTTCAATATTCGCACGCTCGACCTAAGTAGATTTTGTAAGGTACTTTTAGTTTATAAGATCAAATGTTTTATACCGAAAATCATTGCAAATAAAGTTATTATTAATATTATTTTAGATTTTTAATGAAAAGTTTCGCGACTGACTCTTGGCCACAGCAGAATATCAGTGTTTTGCTCTTTTAAGGGCAAAGCAATAAACTGAGCTGTGACCATTTCGTGTTACTATGCCACACGCATGGAGGAATGGTAACAAAGGAGATTGTTAGATTATATATTCTGTTTTTGTATTTTTTTTTATTTGTGCTTTTTTTATTTTTATTCTTTTGTCTCTTTTGCTGTGTATTACGTGTATGTTTTTTTTTATTGCAATTTGTGTGCTGTAAGTAATGTAAATAAATTATCTATCTATCTATCTATCATAATTTTTATGATAATTTTAATTAATTTTCGACTCATTAGATACATTTTAAGTATCAGATATTGTATCTGTATAATATTTCAATATCTGTATATAGATATTGAAATATATATATATATATATATATATATATATACAAATACAATATCTGATACTTAAAATGTATCTATTAATTAAAATAACGTATATAAACGATATTACCCATACGTAGCGGAAACAAATACGTCGGTCAAATATTGATCCTCAAAATAGTTAACGTTAACGGGTACTTACGTGTTAAGCTCGAGATCCAATCTGAACTTGTGGTTGAAAGCTTTGATGAGAAGGGATGTTCTGTGGAAGTGTTTGCCAGCCTGCAACAAAGAGAGAACAAAGTTATTACAAGTTTTCATTCAATTTAAAATATTTATTAATCGTTTTATTGCTAAAAGTAATACTTTAATGTATAACTACTTAGGTTCGCACTCGCATCACAGCCGCTAGAAATTAAGGGTTCCGAATGGTCCCTAAACTAGTCGAGCTATCCTGATCAAATTACACGTAAGTTAAATTGGTAGTTATTATACATATTAAAATTTAACTTTACAATATAATTTCTTACATATCATCATCATCATCACATCATCTTTTCATTTACAAAACATAGGCTTTCTCTTCCTGGCGTATTTTTCCAATAGTTGCCACGCTTGGCAGAAGGATTACATTAATTGGTTTAAATCCAATTTTATAAAAAAAAACATGTCTCGGTCAACCAGCGAAGTCACAGAAAAGCTAATAACTAATGATGAATAAATGACATCATTTTAAATAGCCCCAGCAATTATATTATAACATCATTTCTTTTTATTTTTAATTTTTTAATAATATTTATGCTATTTACTCTTTATAAATTAGATAGATTTTTATATATATATCCATAACATATAATATTAAGTAAAATAAAAAAAAAAGTGATATTGCGGTTTGCTATTAATACATATAAGCAGTACGTTCACGCCGGGGCCAACTTGAATGTTTTTTGCTGCGAGGCGGCGCTCTAATTGATGCTACGCTTCATCATCGTATACGTACCACTGGTGGTACGCGCCGCCAGAAAAGACAGTCTAGTGCAGGCCACCGGTGGTACGCGCCGCCAGATGAGACAATCTAGTGCGTACCGCCGGTGGTACGCACCGTCCAATGAGACAATTTAGTGCGGGCCACCGGTGGCCCGCGCCGTCGTGAACGTGTTAATACTGACAGAAAGACTATTTAATATTATTTATTTTTACTTTATATTATTATTTTTTTATTAAAGAAAAACCAACAGCTAGAAATTATCATAATAAAAACAGGTTTTAACAAATAAAAACAAGATTTAACTAATGCAAATGACATCGCTAATACTTACAATCGACTAAATTAAACTTAGAGTAACAACATTATAGAAGAACAAACATTATAAGTAGGTAGATAGAGAGTTATACATAATAAAATGTTGAAATCACACGCTCAAAGATGAACTTTCAAAGAATCACTAACTCGGCACACGTCTTACGGATTCTTTATTAGAATTAAATAAATCTAAATCGAAACTTTTAGATATTTTATTAAAATTATCTCTTCAAAATTGAATTATTGTATGGAAAGTATTACATTTGTATGAATAGAATAGAGTGCAGTAGATGGTAATGGAGTGGAACGGAATGAAACGGGACGGAACTAAATAGACTGGAAAGGAATATTACATGTATTAATTTACGTGAAAGTCGGTAAGTAAGTCACTATTTGGCGCCTTAATCTATCGTTACAAAACATGCCATCACTATAACCCGCTACAATCGGGGGGAAAGAGATTATTAGCAATAGAGTATGACAGCCTCATTGTTAGTAATTTGCCCTATTAGGTCGACCTCCACGTGGTTCCTCCTGGAAACCATCGTGAACAATTCTTATTGAATTCGTCACGATGAGCTAACTGACCTGCTTCATCCTCACCTATCATCCTTCACTGGTGCTCCGCCGGTGTATACCTACTGTTAGCGCGGGTGGGGATACCATTCCATTATCACCCATTAAAAAAAATCCCGCCACAATGTAAAGTTTCATCCTAGCCCTTTGAATACGTGACGGTCTTCCACCGTGCATTTTTCAGACACTTTCTTCTATCCACAACCATTTTTTGGAATTAACTTCCAGCAGTAGTATTTCCGAACCGATACGACAACATAACCTTCAAGAAAAGAGCATATTCCTTTCTAAAAGGTCGGCAGCATACTTGTAATGACTCTGGTGTTATGGGTAATCATGGGTGGCGGTGACTACCAGGTGAGCCGCTTGCTCGTTAGGCCTCTGTGTTATAAAAAAAAATCTCATATTCAAGATGTTGCAAAAACCGATTATGGGAATAAAGTACAAGATACTAATGCAAGAAAGAAGTCGAAATAAAATACCAAACTCTGTATAGCTATGATATGATGTAAAATATTATTAGGTCTCGCTGTATACATAAAGACGTTTGAATAAGTTAAAATAGAAAGTGTTGATTATTGTAACATATGAATCTTGCTATAAAAGATTCAATTTATTATTTCATATTTTCACAAAATGTATACTAATTATTTCAATATCATCATGTAATCGTACGTATCGTTGACTGAAACCAATACGATTTGCCAATTGTAATCGCATTACAAATACATTAACTCTATATTACATTCGATGCACTCGAATTGGGCACTGAAGTGCGTTAAAATGCAATAGTCCAAACTTGGAATCGTATTAAATCGAAAATCGATGAATGTGCAACCGCTTCGACATTAATATATTGCAGAATTACACAGTTCGTGGTTATATAAATAGATATATGGACATTTAAACATTTATTACTAGCTGCTTGCCCCAGTTTCACACGGGTATACTCTCTCTCTTCAGTCGTACACTCTTGACAGAGTGGTCGTGGTTTTCACAATGATAGTGGATCGTCGATGAGGCTTTCCTTCGCGATTGAGGTATACCAGTGAAGACATTAAGAGCAAATTTTTCTTTACATCCTGTACAGTACATGCAACTGCAGAAGAAGTTACGAAAGACCGTGATCTTGTCGAATTCCATTTATTTTATTTTCTATCTTACTTACTCCTTATAACTATACGTATCTAATATCTCGTTCGCACACATCCCATCAATCCTTAGATTAAGTACGTTATGCTAAAACTCTATGCGTCAATCACATTCGTAAACTCTTTCATTCACTACTAACGTCAATCATCTGTCACTGTCACACGATACGTTTTGTTCTCTGGCATGCTCTTTGAAGTTTACAAATTTTTAATAACAATTTTAAATTCTAGATTTATTAGGTTCCTTACATGACCTAATAAAGGTTCCTTACATGACTACATTTTTACATGACATGTACTGAACTAAATTGTCAATTCAGTATTTTTCTTTTCTCTTCTGTCTCACTCATTTTTTTATGTGGAGATTTTTGACATAATTTTATAACTTTTATATAAGATTTTTTAAGCACACATTTCTTGTCCTTACAATTACAAAATACAAGAGATATAGAATTAGTCAAATAGGTAAAGTTATATAGATTAGGCCAGAGATTTCGGATAAATATCAGATTTCGGACTAAATCATAATTTATCTGAGAATTAAACATTTATCAATTTACCAATTGCAAATTGATACTGAAATATGAAAATTATATTTCATAAGTGCATTAACAAATTATTCATATTTCAATAATTACAATAATTATTGCAAAATTATCTTTATTCATTATCATGATGATGCCTTAACTGTCCACTGCTAAATATAAGCCTCTCACTTTGGGGGGGTAGTTGCCACGCTTGGCAGGCGGATTAGCAACCGTAGTTAGGCTTTGGTTATGTTTTAAGAGGGATGCTACGTCTCATCCCGCTCTTCCTTAGTCGCCTGTTACGACACCCACGAGAAAGGAAGGGGTAACTCATTCTTTTCCGGAACCACACGGCAATTTTGTTTCTTGTTTTATAATAGTATTTTTTTAGCTGGACTGTCGGGTTTTTAAATTTTCGGAGTAAATATACTTATTTTGAAATCAGTATACTCTCATCAGATATTTATTGATAAAAAGCATCCATCGTAGTCTCGCATGTCCTCGTTCCGGTAACAAAATTACCATCGAGTCGTGTAGTCGTAATAAAATCCAAAATTCCTAACTGTATGCAGGAAACACTATCAGGGGGCCGGTGGGGGGAGGTGAGGGATATCGGATTATTGGGGCCATCGGCGAAATTGAATAACAGGCCGCTTCGGGCGTTCGAGCGCACCTACCTCATGGTACAGAAATAGTCAAGGTCGGAATAGCTGATCAGGTTACCATTAGTTTTGGTTACGTAAAGATTTTTGGAATTTTGACGTTGATATAAAGTTTAAATACGTGCATACTTTATAATTTGCCGTGTGGTATTAGCGTAGGATAGGCCTCCCCTTTTTATTCCTAAGGCGACTAAGAGAAATTGATGATAGAGGAATAGACAGGATCGTCCCTCTTAAAACATCACTAAAAGCCTAACTGTGCTTACCAACTCGCCTACCAAGTGTGGCAACTACTGGTAAATCTTCCTTCATGGGGAAGGCTTATGTTCAGCAGTGGACAGTTAACGGCTGATTTGATGATGATCCCACCTTTCAAACCGAACATAGCAATGCAAGCTCCTTCATGGCAAAAAGACGAAGTAGAGGTATCCATGCAAACGACCTTTGCACAAAGTAAGTTCTAGTAAACGTGGTCTGAAAAAAGAGGTAACGTTGGGACAAATTCTAATGTGTTATCCTCTGAACTTATTTCTAAAATCACAATTAGGCAAAGAGAAATAAATGTAAATCAATTTTGACCTAATTCTACTAAAAAATTAGGTTAGAACAATCATTTCACTGTAATATTAAATTTAAATTTTATATAAAGAGAATTGTGTTTCAAAATTGACTCCACTGTATTTCTACTACATCAATGTATAGGAAAATGCATTTTCTATTATAAATTGAATTCTTGACCACTATTTTGTTCGTTGAACAATTACGAATGTTGTATTAAGCACCGTTGACAGCACCCAGTAATTTACCCAATGGTCGATTGTTTATTAAATTAGAGACCCTCTTTGAATGGGCCCTCAAAATGCGAATTGACAGCTCACACACTAGAGGCATTTGCAAAGGTCTCTTTGTCTGGTATGACTATGTCTGTATCAAATACTGTATATAAATTTTCCGAAAAGTAAAAATGTATAAAATATAAAACAAAGATAGATAAGTACAGTTGCACGCACTATCGTGCGACAATGAAGTGTGGCCTACAAAAAAAGACCAACGAGCAAAAAAT